GCAGCAGCAGCAGCAGCAGCAGCAGCAGCGGCAGCAGCAGCAGCAGCAGCAGCAGCAGCAATTGCCGGGGCGTCTGGGGTCCAGCAGGCAGGCTTTGCCTATATATGCTGGTGTTCTCCCCCCGGCGCTGAGGCCACTGACGCCAGCGCCTAGGGCTTAGGGTTTAGGGTTTAGGGTTTAGGGTTTAGGGTTTAGGGCACCTGCTTCTTCAACATTAGACTCTGCATGTGGTCCACTAAGTGCTCGCGCCTCAGGCCGTAAACCCCCAGCCTCTTCACTGTCTCTTGCGCGTCTCCTTCGTGGGCCAGCGGCGCCACCGCCTGCGGCCAAACCCTAAACCCTAAAGCTTAAACCCTAAACCCTAAACCCTAAACCCTAGACCCTAAGTCCCCGCGCGCTAGCCGGCTCACTACCGCCGCAAGCGCACCTGCCGAGAAGGAAGGACTCCCGACCCCCAGCCCCCAGCCCCAAAACCTAAACCCTAAACCCTAAACCCTGAACCCTAAACCCTAGAAAGCCTCGCCATTGTGTAAAGAGCGTCCAAGTAACCCGAAAGCTTCAAAGCCCCCACACTAGAGCCCGCGCTGGGGGTTTTGAGGAGCTGCAGCAGCAGCTCGGAAAAGAGCCTTTTGTTTTTGGTTTGTGTGCTGCAGCAGCAAACAGCAGAACTCCGCAAACCCTAAACCCTAAACCCTAAACCCCAAACCCTAAACCCTAAACCCCAAACCCTAAACCCTCATTACCTGTTGCGGCCCAGCCAAGACGGGAAGTTCACGCGAGGAATGAAGCCGTTTACTTTGTGAACCTGAAATAAAATAAAAACACAAAAATACAAAAAATAAAAACAAAAAAGATAATAAACCCTCAAGTAGCTGCAGCAGCACTCCTCGGGGGGCCCCCCGGGGCCCCCAGGGGCCCCCAAAGGCCCCTTATGGCCCACCAAACCCTCCTTGGGGGCCCCCCAAAAGCCACTTTAGGGGACCCCAGGAAGCCCCCAGGGGCCCCCAGGGGTGCCAGGGGTCCCCAAAGGCCAGGGGGCTCCTGGGGCCCCCCGCGGAGCAGCAGCAAAGTGCTGCTGGGGGCCCCCGGGGCCCCCCGGGGAGCAGCAGAAAATGTTGGTTTGAATTTGACTGACTGCAGCAGGGACTTCGACGCAGCAAAAGGCCCCCAAAGTGGGAAGAAGGGACCAGTCTTGAGCCTGCGGGGCCCCACAAAGTCTCAGCGCTGAGGTGTACGTACACCCCAGCCCCCAAGGCGTCTGCGGTGTACGTACACCCGGCGCCGCCCCACAAACGCGCATGCACGCGCATGCATGCGCATGCATGCATGCATCAATGCATGCATGCATGCATGCATGTATGCATACATGTATGGCATGTATGAATGCATGTATGGATGCATGCACAAATGCGCATGCATGCATGCATGCATGCATGCATGCATGCATGCAAAGCTGCTGCTTACGGAGCGCAAAATTGCGTTGGCGACGTCGGCTTGGCAAAGTGCACGAGCAGCTCGTGCACAACTCGTGAGGCCCTCCAGCTCAGCAGAGGGGCCCCCCTGGGGGCCCCCAGGGGGGCCCCCCTTGCCGGCCTCCTTGGGGGGCCCCCGGGGGCCCCCCAGGGTCAACTTGGGGGGCGTCCCCGGGGGGCCCCCCCGCTGCTGCACCCCGTGGGATATGGCGGCTAGGTAGTTCTCCTGTGCACAGATGCAGCGGGACTCCAAACCCTAAACCCTAAACCCTAAACCCTAAACCCTGAGGACTGCAGGCTGAGCGTTGGAAGTGACCCGCGCTCAGCAATTGAAATAGCCCAAGCACTTTTCTTTCTGGAGAGTCAGCGTTGCTGAGCCCCAAGCCCTAAACCCTAAACCCTAAACCCTAGGCCCTCGCGGACATGAATGAGCAGGGGAATCATGTCGTAATCGACGAAAAACAAATCCAACTTTTCCGACAAACTCAAACCCTTTCCAGATCGAGAGTCCAGCAGCAGTTTGCAGCAGTCGAAAGGCCCCAGAGTCACCTGTACGTACACCCCACAGCTGTACGTACACCCCACAGCTGTACGTACACCCCACAGCTG